AAAAAAAAATCCGCATTTACTTTTATACAATAACACGCATAATAATCAGATAATTTAAAAAAAATTTTTTCTTGTGCTTGTGATACAAAAGTAAAAACACAATACCTGGAACATGTCAACTTGTCAAAGACAATTCAAACAATAGACACAATAGACCATTATTAGAACCAAATGCATTCTTTTGTACATCCTAAACCTACCCCCACCATTATCTACCCCACTTTTCCCCATGGTTTCTGTATTACCAAATTTGTCGTTCATCTTTTTATTTTGTGGTAAATCCGCTTGGACCGCTACTTTAAGTTGTATACTAAACTCACAATCTCCTATGGCAATCCCATTTTCGTCCGTATTTCAAAGGAAATTTATGTTTCTTATTACGTAATTAAAGGATTATACAAAAAAATATTGTACATTTGTTTGTATTCTTTATAATCCATGTTTCTTTATTTATTGTTTATTGAATTTTGTAATAATGGCAAAATCTTGTATATAGCCATACAAATAAAAGAATAACCTTCTCGAGATCGTGTTATTGTATAAAAGTAAATGCGGATTTTTTTTTCTTTTTTTTTTTTGGACGTCAATGGGGAAAAGATTTGCGTTTGTTTGTGTTCAATGGACATATACGTATTTATTTTACAGTATAAATGCTCGTAAAGAAGATTTTATAATAATACTAAGCATGTATAAAAAAAAAATTTTCAATAATTGCACCTTTTTTTTTTTTTATACCATTAACCAACAATAAAATGCAGAGTCTTCTAACCAAAACTAGACTTTTTTTCCCAAGTGTTTATGAGGAAAATTTGTATTTTAATCCCGATACTTCCCCAACTTCCCGTCTTACATCCTTTCTTCCTCATTCACGACCTTAATAATACCAACCCTTTCTCTCGTTGAAGTGTCTCTTCGACATTTTAACCGAAATTTGTTTCATGAAAAAATCTTCCTCGTAACGCGATTGTTATTAACGGGCAACTAAAACAATAAAATAATAAACTAGCAATGGAAAATAGAAGTCAGGTAAATTTATATCCATGCACGCGTAAATTTATATGTTGGTTTGTAAAATATTAATTTATAATCATTTATATATAAATAGTATCGAACTTTTTGCCCTAAGATAATTTTTCACGAACCCTACCATAATGATAATTACTCGTATTACTACCGGGGTGAAGATTATATCAGGTGGAGAGAAAGAGTTGCAAATATGTTAAATAGAAACAGTCAAATCTGGATGCTTGAAAATGGTCGAGGTAAATATTTCTTTATTATGAATAAAATATTTATGAAGAAATAAATAAATACATATACTTATATCTTGATATAATATTTTATATGAAAAAAAGATCTTATTTTTAATCACGACCTAATAGACAACACACAGTCGTTACCCACATCTCCCACCCTCCCAGCAACCCTCCCCCTTCAAAATTCTTTTTACAATCATCGCATTATTCCCCAAGGACCTCAGGTCATAGATGGGACTTTTGTAACTGTGGGTGGTCCAAAAAAACGGCGTGGAAACTTACCTAAAGCCACGACTGCCCTACTTAAGGACTGGTTGGCAAAGCACAAAAAGCATCCCTACCCGACTGAAGAAGAAAAACAAGGTCTTGCAAAAGAGACCATGCTGAATTTACAGCAAATTTCTAATTGGTTTATAAATGCAAGAAGGAGGCATTTGCCCCTTATGTTAAATTCGTCAAATTCTAAAAGCACCGGTAATGACCTAGATATATATCCGTACAAGGCTGCTGAAAAAGCTGATGGTATTTATCTTAAATAATGTGATCGATTTTATTAATTTCAAAAAATTATTTCAAAATTGTTAATTTCAAAATTATTCATTCTGATTTTTATTTTTATTAAAGGCGACGCTTCTGACACCAAGTTT